AACCTTTCTCATTTTCATGGATGAAATGGAAGAAGCATTTGAGGAATTGGCTTGCGAGTTTGAAAACATGAAATTAAAACACAAAGAAAAGATTTCAAAACTTAATATTGAAAATGCATTTTTAATGAAGGCAAAACTTAATTTAGAAAAAGAAAATAAAAAATTGAAAATGAATTTTGAAACATCTCAAAAGGACTCTGATATTTTGGGAAAAGAAAATGAAAAATTAAAAAACATTGCTAACACCTACAAAAAGAAAGTTGAATGATTGAAAAGAGAAAAATGTATGGTTTATTTTATGCATTTTCTTTTAATTGTTTAGCCTATAAAGATAAAATAAATGTAAGCTTCAAAAGAAACTTTGTACAATGAGACTAACTATCAAGGATCTAAAGCCATTTGGATACCAAAGATCAAATAAAAAGTGTCTCCTGTAAGTGTGTTAGAGCAAGGAGGAATAAATTCTTAAAAGATCAAATGCTCTTTAGACACACAATGGAAATTGAGTGATTTCTTTACCAAAAGTCTCTTATTTTTCAAATTTGTGAACTTTGATTGTTTGTTTTTATTTTGTTGATTTTTCTTGATTTTGGAGATTGATTGATCTAGCTTGATTTCTAAAGTTGTTAGCCTTTTTTATTGAAGATTTGAATTGTTTATTCTTATTTGAATATTAAGTGCATTACTTTTTATCTACTTCCTTTTGAACCTTATTGATAAATTTGATTATGCTAAACTGATTTGACGTGATACATGCTATAAATTGCATAATCTTGAAGGAAATATAATACCAAGAATTGAGTATGTCACAATTTAAATTGGGGAGTCGTGATCGACGTAAAAACCTAGCAGGCAAAGCTGGCGAAACCTGAGCAAGCCTTCGTGTATCAATCTAACATCTTGTATCACATATCATACGGATCTTATAATGATCATCATATTCAAAATATTTCCCAACTTGTCATTTAAAACATTAACCCCTTGGTTCATATTTACATATCATTTAGTCATAACATTGCATAGCCGTACATTGGCTTAATGCATTTTGTTCCTTGAAAACTTTTCATTAAGTAAAATATAAGGCAATGCAGTACCCATATAATTCGTTACATGAAATGCACTAAAAACATTTAGTGCGAAAGTGTAACCTTAACTTAGCGGCTAGGCTTATCGTAAAAAGAAGTTTGCTAGATGCCAAAATGTGTTTGTTTAGATGACGACGTTAAACCACTCAAACCTACTATCTATTTATCTGCACAATACAATCGAAAGGGTGAGTCATATTAATACTTAGTGAGTGAAAACATATAATCAATTGTACATGTGTAGGGATAGTTGCTGCACATATTCTTTAAATATACATATATTACAATAGACTAAAACTTATGTCTAGTTAAATTAGGTCGGACATCACATGTCATAATTATCCTATCATCATCATGGTAGCCATACTACGCTACTAACATATAACTATTTCTAGCTCAAACTCATCGTTGTTGTTAATTTCACATCATACTTATCTTACCTGAAAAGCATTCATATTCATGTTAAGTTTGTGGACACTTCAAGCATAGTTTGAGCTTATCTTTGGTCAACGCACACATACAACCCTTACCATAGACCATTTCATCAATTACATTGTATATATCATATCATATATCTCATAATCGTAAACTAAAAGCATAATATACATGGTTCAATCATCATTATCATAGAACGGTCCTCCCTGGACATAACAAAGTCATGTACAGTGGCCAACCAATAGATAGTACACCATATCATATCATGCTCGATATCGTAGTCATTAGCAGAAATTATGTTAGACGTAGTGTCATTGCAACTGGCAAAGTTTCATAATCATCATTTGAAATAACATCAATGGATGGTATCATAGCACTGTAAGCGGGAATCAAAAACCAAGACTAAACCACCATCCCTACTTATTTTAACTTTCTTAGCAATTGACAAATGAATAATTGAAACACAAACACTTAAATCACACAAAGCTTTAGAGAATTTAAATTTGTCGATAGTACAAGGGATAGAAAAACTCCTTAGATCTTTAAGTTTTTGTGGAAGTTTGTTTTGAATTATCGCATTACACTCCTCAGTAAGTGTAACTAATTCAAAGTCTTCCAATTTCCTCTTCTTGGTTAAGATGTCTTTCAAGAATTTGACATAACTTGGCCTGTTTTCTTAAGCTTCAACAAAAGGAATATTTATGTGGAGCTTCTTGAAGTCATTGAGAAATTTCTCAAACTACTTATCAAGCTATTATTTTTGCAACCTTTGTGGGAATGGTGGTGAAGGATAATTTGCTTCAGACTTCACTTAATTTTTAGCTTCCCCGTCATATTTCTTTCGAGCTTCAACTTTTCTCTCAACAATTATTTCTTCATCAATGACATGCTTTTTTGAAGATTCAATTAATTTTTCACTCACCTTTCAACTTTTTTTTTACTCCTGAGGATAATTGCATTGCATTGTTCCTTACCTTTGGGATTGATTTGAGTGTCACTTGGTAAGGCACCTTGAGGTCTATTGTTGATGGAACTAGCAAGTTGTCCCATTTGAATCACAAAATTGTGAATTGATGCTACTTGATTCTAAATGATGGCATCATTTTTTTGTCATGTAGGCATCAATCTTTGTCATGAATTGCATGAACATCTCTTCCATAATAGGCTTCTTTTCTGAGACAAAAGGTCTTGCTTTTGTAGAAAGCTAGGAGGAAAGTTTGGCTTTTGATTTGAAGGTTTTGGGTTATTATTCCATGAGAAGTTTGGATGGTTTCTCTAACCAAGATTATAAGTATTAGAGAATGGTTATTTTGTTGCCTGTTGAAGTTTTCAACAAACTGAACTAATTCAAGAATTGATGGATATTGATCTTTCAAATGGCTATCTCCACACAAATCACAAGTTATAAAGGAGTTTTGGATCGCATTAACTCCATCTTTTTGTCAATGCAGCTACTTGTGGAATCAAAGCATTCAGTACATCAATCTCATAAATAGCA